GGTTGTATGACAACTGTATGTTTAACTTTATAAGATGCTGCTATATGTTTTCCAAAGTGGCTGTACCATTTTCCCTGACCACCAGCAATGGATGAGAGTTCCATTTCTCTACATCCTCATCAACACTTAGTGTTGTCCATCTTTTCATTTTAGTCATTTTAGAGGATGTGTAATGGTATCTCATTGGGGTTTTAATTTGCATTTCCCTGATGACTAGTGATGTATACTGACTTTTCATGTGCTTATCAGCCATTTATGTATCTTTTTTTGTGAAGTGTCTGTACAAATCTTTAGTTCATTTTTTATTGGATTTTTTTCTTATAATTGAGTTGTAATAGCTCTTTGCATTCTTTATTCAAGCTTTTTGTCAGATATATGTTTTGCAAATAATTATCTCCTAATCTGTGGTTTGCCTTTTCATTTTCTTATCTATGACTTTTAAACAGTAAGTCTTTTAAAATTTTTGCTGAAGTAAATTTTATTAATTTTTTAATAGTTTGTACTTTTTGTGTTTTATTTAAGAAATCTTTGCCTACCCAAATATCGCAAAGATTTCTCCTGTTTTTTTTCTAGGAGTTTAATAGTTTTAGTTTCAGTCTGTAATCCACTTTTAGTTAATTTTGGAGTGTGAATAGGGTAAGGTAGGGTTTTTTTTTCCCCATGTAGGTATCCAGTTATTGAAGCACCATTTAGGAAGGACAATTTATTCCCTACCAAAATACTTTGCCAAGTTTGTAAAAAATCAACTGACCATAGAAGCGTGGCTCTATTTCCAAACCCTGTCCTGTTCCATTGATGTGTATGTCTGTCCTCATGGTAATGCCATCTGTCCTCATTACTGTAATTTTGTAGTAGGTCTTAAATCAGGTATTGTATGTCCTCTAACAGTCCTTTTTAAGAAATTGTTTGGGCCATTGTTATGTCCTTTGTCTTCTATATAAATTTTAAAATAAACTTATCAGTTTTCCAGGAAAGTCTGCTTGGATTTTAATTGGGATTTTGTTGAATGTAGAGATAAATTTGGGGAGAATTTCCATCTTAACAATATTTAGTCTTTCAAACTTCATTAAAGTCTTTCTTTCTCTCTTTCTTTTTTTTGAGTTTATTGGGGTGACATTGGTTAACAAAACCACACAGGTTTCAAGTGCACAACTCAACAAAACATCATCTGCACGCTGCATCGTGTACCCATTGCCCAAAGTGACGTCTCTTTCGGTCTTCATTTTCCCCCTGCTTTGCGCTCTTCCACCTTCTCCCATCCTTTTCCCTCTGGCTATTACCATATTGTTGTTTTTTGTTTAATACCTTCACCTTCATTTTTTTACCCAGACCTCCAAACACCCCCGCCACACTACTGACAGCTGTCAGACTGTTTTTTGGACCTATGCTTCTATTTCTATTTCGTTTGTTAAACTATTTTGTTCATTAGATTTCACATATAAGTGAGATCATGTGGTATTTGTCTTTCTCTAACTGGATTATCTCACTTAGCATAATGCTCTTCAGGTCCATCCATGCTGTTGCAAAAGGTAAGCTTTTATCCTTTTTTACGGCCAAGTAGTATTCCACTGTGTAAATATACCACAGCTTTTTTACCCACTGATCTACTTAAGCTGTTTCCAGATCTTAGCTATTGTAAATAATGCTGCAGTGAACACAGGGGTGCATATATTCTTTTGAATTACTCTTTCAGGTTTCTTTGTATATATTCTCAGAAGTGGAAAATACTTACTACTTTCCTTTTTAAATATAAGGCTAAAACTACAAAACTCTTAGAAGAAAACATTGGGGTTAAATATTCATGATCTTAAGTTAGGCAATGATTCCTTAGATATAACACCAAAAGCAGAAGCAACCAAGGAAAAGATAAAACTGGACTTGATCAAAGAATACCACCAACTATTCATCAAAGAACACTACCAAGGACGTGAAAAGACAACCTAAAGGACATGAGAAAATATTTACAAATCATATATCTAACAAGGGTCTAGTATCCAGAATATATAAAGAACTCCTACAACTCAACAATAAAAAGACAAATAATCCAACTAAAAATGGGCAAAGGATTTGAGAACGCATTTCTCCAAAGGAGATATGCAAAGGCCAATAAGCACGTGAAAAGACATTCAATGTCATTAATCATTAATCATTAATCATTAGGGAAGTATAAATAAATCAAAGCCACAATGAGATATCACTTTATACCCACTGGGATGGCTATGAATTTTTTTAAAAAGGAAAATAGTAAGTACTGGTGAGAATGTGGGAAAATTTGGAAGCTTCATACATTGCTGGTGGGAATGTAAAAAGCAGCAGCCACTTCAAGGAACCAGCAGTTCCTCAATAAGCTAACCCTAGAGATACCATATGATGCACTCTTAGGTATATACCAGAGAACACTGAAAACGAATGTCCGTGCAAAAAGTTGTACATGCCTGTTCATAACGGCATGTTGTTCAGAACAATTCAAATGACCATCAGCTGATGAATGACTAAACAAAATGTGCTATATACATACAGTGCATTATTTAGTCATACAAAGGAATGAAGTACTGATACATACTACAACATGTTTGAACCTAGAACACATCGTTAAGTGAAAGAATCAGGTGCAAAAGGTTACATATTGTCTTATTCTGTTTATAGTAAAAGTCCAGAAAAGACAGATCTTTAGTGACAGAAAATAGATTAGTGGTTGCCTACAGCTAGTGGGTTGGGGGAAATGAGGAGTGACTGGTAATGGGTACAGATCTCTTTTTGGGATGATAATAGTATTCTGGAAATAAATAACAGTGAGTGTTATACAAGTGACAATATATACTAAAAACCACCGGCTTGTATGCTTTAAATGGCATGATTTATGGTATGGGAATTGTATCACAATAAAAACCAAACAAAATGAGTAATAAACTTATAATAAAGTTACTAGAACTAATGAGTAAGCTTTGTGAGGTCTCAGGATACAAGGTAAATTTACAAAAATCAACTGTAATTTTTTATGTCAGCAATGAACAATTAGAAAATAAAATTTAAAACAACTCCATTTGCAATAGCACCAAGAAAAATAAAATACTTAGAAATTGAGCAAATGACGTGCAAACCTACACCCTGGAAACCTGAAGTATTGCTAAGAGAAATTAAAGAACACCTTTTTATAAATCAACAAACAACAAGTGTTGGTGAGGATGTGAAGAAAAGAGAAATCTTGTGCACTGTTGGTGGGAATGCAGATCGGTGCAGCCACTGTGGAAAACAGTATGGCGTTTCTTCAAAAAATTAAAAATGAAACAGCCTATGTATACTTTCCTAATGATTAATGACATTGAATGTGTTTTCACGTGCTTATTGGCCTTTGCATATCTCCTTTGGAGAAATGCATTCTCAAATCCTTTGCCCATTTTTAGTTGGATTATTTGTCTTTTTATTGTTGAGTTGTAGGAGTTCTTTATATATTCTGGATACTAGACCCTTGTTAGATATATGATTTGTAAATATTTTCTCATGTCCTTTAGGTTGTCTTTTCATGTCCTTGGTAGTGTTCTTTGATGAATAGTTGGTGGTATTCTTTGATCAAGTCCAGTTTTATCTTTTCCTTGGTTGCTTCTGCTTTTGGTGTTATATCTAAGGAATCATTGCCTAACTTAAGATCATGAATATTTAACCCCAATGTTTTCTTCTAAGAGTTTCGTAGTTTTAGCCTTATGTTTAGGTATTTGATCCATTTTGAGTTAATTTTTGTACATGGTGTGAGAGCAGAGTTTAACCTCATTCTTTCTTCCCTTTAAGATTTATTGAAATATAATTGACATGTAACATTGTGTAAGTTTAAATTATGTAACATGATAATTTAATACATATATATAGTGAAATGATTACCACAATAGGATGTGTTAACACATCCATTGCTTTAATATAATTACCATTTTTTAAATAGTGAGAACATTTAAGATCTACTCTCTTAGTAACTTTGAAGTTTATAATACAATATTATTAATTATAATCACCGTGCTGTACATTAGATCCCCAGAAGTAACTGAAAATTTGTACCTTTGACAGCCCTGTCCCCAGCCCTGGCAAGCACCATTCTACTCTCTGTGTCTATGTGTTTGGCTTTTTTAGATTTCACATATCAATGAGATTATACAATATTTGCCTTTCTTTGTCTAACTTATTTCACTTAGCATAATACCCTCGAGATCCACAGCACATGGCAGGATTTCTTCCTCTCTCATGGCTGAGTGATAGTCTGCATACATGACTAATATTCCATATCTGTGAATAATATTTCATGTATACCTCACTTCTTCTTTATCCATTCATCTGTAGGTGGACATAGGTTGTTTCCATATCTTGTAAAGGAAAAAACACATGATAGACGCTTGATTCTTTACCTTTATTTCCAATTTGTTTAAAATAATTAGTTGGTTTACGAGTACTCTTGAAAGTCAACCAATAATGTTTTGTTTTGAATTGTTTTTAATATAATGATATATTCAGAGATTTAAATATATTTATGTGTTTTGTTCCACTGTAGTTATAATCTTTATTGATGTTCAAATTGTCCCATCTTTGATTAATGGGAGCCTCTTCAAGGAGCCTTTTGGAGCCTTTTGACATCAGTCTAGTGGTCTTTGATAGCCTTGCTGCTTTCTTGGTGGACAGGATGTTCAAGGCTTATCTTGTATATTTCCTGCCCCAGAAATAAAATCAGATATTTCTCCAAAGAGCCCTGGTTCCTTTTAGTGGGAAATGGCATTTGGAGACCTTCTCAGGATATTAGAGGCATTTATTTCTGTTGAGTTGGTCACTGTTTATACACTTTTTCAGTGGAAAAAGCTAGGAAAAAATATATATATACTACTCATGTTGGGGTTTAAATATATATTTAATAATTTCAACAAAATTTTACTTAATCTCATAGATACTGCTCTTTCCTTCATCTTTTCCTCCTCAAAAAAAGAGCCTATCTTCTCCATAATACTAATCTGTCTACTCATACAACAGCCTCATGATTTGTCGTCAATTTGCATATCATCTGTGCCCAGAGATGATGCCAATCATCTCTGTATCGTTTTAAATTTAGTTTATGTGCTGCCACAGTGAGAACAAGCTTTATAACCTTCACCAGTCTGAAAGGTGAAAAATTGTGTCTCATTTTAGTTTTATTTTGCATTTCTTTGGTAATTAATGAAGCTGAGGGTGTGTCTTTTTAGTATAGGCAAACCCCTTAAGCCGTTTCCCCCAAATTGTCAGTATTCTCCACAACAGCATTTCCCAAACTTCATTCATCTTTGTAGTATGTTTTTCCTAATTACTAACTCACCCATGCTATTATTTACTGGACACATTTTTAGTTACCGAGCCCCCTCCCAAGTGGTCATATACGAGCACAATACAACATTAATATATTTGGTGTCTGGTTCTATCCTTCCCTCGTACACATTAGCATACATATATCACTCTTAAAATTAAAGAGTGGGTACCACCTGAAATCATCTCTTGTACCACCCTCTGTGGGGTGAGCACCATGCCCTGGTAATCACTCTCCTACAGGCGTGGCATTGTCACTGAACAGAATGAGAGATGCCAGTCATTGTCCCCGGGCAACATGTCTTTCATAAGAAAGACTATGTTTGAGAAAAGCCAGACCAAATACCTGCCCTCACACGGTACTAGAGGCAACTGTATAATAACACTAATGTGCTTTCACTGCTTGACGTGGAGACGAGAGCCCGGGCCTTGATGTGCAGAGCAGCTGTGAGCCAGCTGGGCATCTTCGGGAAACCGCATTGCCGCTCCAGCCCTGTTTCCCTCATCTGTAAAAATGGGGAAGTTGGAGTAGATGATTTGAAGTCCTTTCCTGCTTTGAAGGCAAGTTTGTAACCCTTCCATCTTCATGCAGAGAGTTTCTAGTTTAGAAGTAAGAACGGCCCTGGCCCAGTAGCTCACTTGGTTAGAACATTGTCTGAATACACCAACGTGGCAGGTTCAATCCCTGGTTAGGGCACATACAAGAATCAACCAATGGGTGCCTAAATAAGTGGAACGACAAATCAACGTTTCTCTCTCTCTTCCCCTTCTTCTCTCTCTCGAATCACTTTTTTTTTTAAAAAAAAAAGAAGAAGTAGTAAGAACAGTGCTCCCTTGCAGCCATTCCTTTTCTCCCACCTGTGTTCCCGGGTCAGGACTGGTGTGGGTGGTCCCAATCCATGCCAGCACGCCTCTCTCTGGTATCACTGATGGGGGATTCACATGCGAGAAGCTAACCAGCCCCTAAACACAGGAAGCACCAAAGGGTAGCTGAAGAGTTAAAGTGCGGCCTCCAAATCATAGAGGAGCGGAGGTTTGGGCGGCGCAGGCTGTGCGACCCTCACAAGAGGGACTGCCATCAGGGGAACTCAGGCAGCCCTGGGCAGGGGCGCAGCCCGGCAGGAAAGGGCCCTGTGACGTCCAGGGGATGCCATTCACTGAACCCCAAAGTCCAGGTCACGTCTCGCTTCCAGAGCAAGGTTTGGAGAGGCGAGGGCGAGGGGTGTGCGTCGTGAGTGTGTGCGTGTGTGTGTTCCGGAGAAACAGAACACAGAGCTCCTGAACCGGACAGCGTGGGCTTGGCCGTCACCCTTGCCTCTTACTAGCTATGTGGCCTCAGACAAATCACTTAAAGACTTGCTCTTCAGTGTCCTCACCTGTAAAATAAGGACTATAAGCATTGCCAACTTCACAAGACAGCGATAAGGATTAAAGCGGTTAACACAGGAAAAAGAGACTGGTCATGAGCATCAGTTCATGTCTAAGGGAGGAAGACAGGAAAGGAGGGAAGGAAACAGCAGTTTCATCAAAGCTGCCTCCCCAGTGGGGTGGGGGGATGGAGGTAGGGGGTGCTCTCCCCGAGTTCTGGGAAGAAAATGGGATGCTCAGAGCTGAGCTTTTCTCCCAGGGCAAAAGCTAAAAAGAAAGCCCCCAAACAAGCAAATTAAACAAAACTGCCTAGAGGTATTTTGTTACTCAGGGCCCAGGACTGAGGCCTCACCCAGCATGGGCAAATACACACACACACACACACACACACACACACACGCCCCCAGAGACCTAAACGTTTCCCCAAATAGTCAGCAACCCGCAGGCAGCAGAAGACAAATAGCTCAGACCTGACTAATGAGGCCACCTCCGCAGGCCAAAGGTAACATCTGACCCCAGCTGTGTTTCAGCTCCTGAGCCCTCAGGTGGAGTGACTCCCTGGCTACTGCTCCCTGAAACAGACAGGGACCCAAAAAGACCTCAGAGCTGTCCTTGAGACCTGAAGAAATGACTCCTTGCTTTACCTCACCTCCCGTGAATCAGTTCCCAGCGCAATCCCGAGCCCCTCAACCCACGGTGCCCTGCGGTTTCACCCTGTGTAATCTGTAATCAACAGGCCTTCAGGGAGTTGGGTCTGCAGAGCATTAGCTCCCCTTCTCTGATTGGCCAATTCAGTATTAAACTATTTTTCTTTCTATACTGCAATTGCTACTTGTGCATTTCTTTAGTCTGGTGCATGCAGGCGAGTGGACTAAAGGAAATCAGTGGGGTTTTGGTAATGCCATGCCCACTGAAAATGCTGCCACAAAGGAAGTCATTTCTTCTTTGGACTAGAACATTTATTTTATTTTTTTTTTTGTACTAAAAGAAAACATCTAGCAGTTTCCTTGAAGTAGTGTGAGTGAGGGAGAGGGGAGAAAGAGAGAGAGCGCGAGCGACGTCTAGGGAGACAACCTTCCTTTGGCCCCTTACCTCCAATGCCGGGGAAGGTCTGAATCCCGGACAGACTTGAGCTATTTCACTGGGAGTTTTTCCTGCGGCGGGCATTCTTCCCAGAGGCTGGCGGCCACCCTCAGAAGGAGACTCACATTGTAACCAAAAGCAGGTCCTGCTGCCTGCTGCTAAGAAAGCCAATTCTGGAGAGATAGGAGCTGATGTAAAGGAAAGTGGTTTGTTTGCAGACGCCCACCACCTGGAAGATGGGGGGCTCACGTCTCAAAGCCCATGTCCACCTCCCAGTAGAGGCAGGACTTTTATAAGGAGGCAGAGGGCAGCAAAACAAAGAGATGAAGAGAGGGGGTTGAAAAGTTCTCTAAGTGCAGACCAGCGCAGTCCAATGTGATAAGACAAGTGATGGCCCGGTGTGCGTCATCCTGGTTTAGTCACCTGGCTTCACGTCATCCTAGCTTTCTGTTTGGAGGTCAGCAAATCCCCTGGAGCTGAGATGCCTGAAGGTTGGAGGCTGTCTCTTCTGAGGTTAATTCTTAGTGTTTCCGAACAGGGGGCCTGGCCCTTAGCGGGTCTGCCCAGGGCCAGCTGCAGTGTGTGGGTTCCTGACCTCATGTAGGAAAGATTGCACAACGTGCGTCCAGGAGACTGTGAGGGTACATTTAGTAAAGCGGGGGACAGTGAAACAAGGAAGGGTTTAGCAAAGCAGCAGCAACAGGAGAGCCTGGGCTGGGCTGCCTCAGCTCACCGGGAAGTCAGAGAAAAGGGGGCTTTGGGGACAGGCTCAGGGGGTTAGCCTGGGACAAGCTGCCAGCCGCCCATTGCTTCAGAGTTTAGGAGACGCATGCCTGTGCAGAAAGAAGTAGGGGAAGAAGAAAGAGAAGGGAACGGTGCAGGGTGCTCCCCAGAGGGAGAGCTTGCAGGCTGGGGCCTTTGTCTTGAGGCTTTTATCTCTTTCTCCCTGGCAAAAATCTTCGGGGAGGTCTCAGGGGAAGGTTTGAGTAGACTATCCATCCGTTCTCCAGGTGTCCCGGTTCAGGATCGTGGACTCCACGGGTTGGTGAGTGACAGGGCAGGAGGTCTTTAGTCATTGCAGTTGGTTCTAGCCTCACCCAACTGGTTTTGCAGCTTCTCTTGGCCTGGAGCTGAAACACGACTGAGGCGTAGATGTCATCCCTAGGAAGGAAAGGTCAGGGGAGGAATGGTGACCCTGGGGGCCAGGCCCTTGTTTTCCTAGTTTTGCCCCTTGCGCTCAGCTACCTGTGTCAGTTTCCCTATACCACTTGCCAAGGAATTTTCCTAGCTTCTCACTATCCTGTCTCACAGCCAGCAGGCCATGTCTGGCTCCTGTTTTTATAAATAAAGCTTTATTGGAACACAGGTATGCTCTTTCATTTATGTATTACCTGTGGCCGCTTTCTAGCCACGAGAGGATAGTTGAGAGGAGGGGATAGAGACTGTGTAGCCCACAAAGCCTGCAAATATTTATCATCCGATCCTTGCAGAAGAAGCTGGCTGCCTCCTGGTGAAGGACAGAAGGTGTGAACTCGTTTAAGGAATTTCAGTCACTAGTCAGCAGGTAGGGGTAATATTCCGAGGGTCTGAAGGACCCCTTGAGTCTCTCACGCTGACTCTCCCCTGTCATAACAGTGGAGAATTGTAACGGTGGGATATCACAACCCACCCCACCTTTCTTTTGACATTGTTTCTGGAAGTGCTGACTCTGACTAATACATAGCTTGCAGATGAACAGCATGTTTGTAAAGGAGTCTTGTGAGACCGGACAGTGAGAAGCTAGGAAAATTCCTTGGCGAGTAGAATAGGGAAACCGAGACAGGTAGCTGAACGCAAAGACTGAGCCATGAACAGCCATGTGCAGATGGTTACCAGGCAGAAAGCCCCCTGCTCCTGGCAGGGGACAAAACTGGGAAAAGAAGGGCCTGGCCCCCAGGGTGACCTTTGCTCCCCTGGCCTTTGCTCCCTGGAGATAACATCTAGGCCTCAGTTGTATTCCACCTTCAGGCCCAGAAAAACTGCAAAACCAGGCAGGCAACGCTGGGAACCTACTGTAATGACTAAAGACCCCCTGCCCTGTCACTCACCAACCCGTGGAGTCCACGATCCTGAAAGGGGACACCTGGAGAACGGATGGATAGTCTACTCAAACCTTCCCCTGAGACCTCCCCGAAGATTTTTGCCAGGGAGAAAGAGATAAAAGCCTCAAGACAAAGGCCCCAGCCTGCAAGCTCTCCCTCTGGGGAGCACCCTGCACCGTTCCCTTCTCTTTCTTCTTCCCCTACTTCTTTCTGCACAGGCATGCGTCTCCTAAACTCTGAAGCAATGGGCGGCTGGCAGCTTGTC